AACTGGTGCTTTGCTTGAACCTTGTGCCTTGGTTGTAGTTGGATCAATGGTACTTGCACCTGGAAGAATATAACACTAGTTAGCAACAAGTTTTGGATCACTGTCTAGGTATGAGGTGTGTTTCATTCTTTCGAAAGATGAGCATTTCATCAGCAGAGCAGAATCATGGCAAACAACTCCTATCTTAACGTGATTAACATCTGCAAATTTCGATTTTTTGCCACGTAAAAAAACTTAACATAACTCACCATTAGAGTCGATCAGACAATACACAGTTAACGACATCAACAGACAAACCAACGTTACTTTACTGAGAAACACAAAATAACGATGTAAAATTAGAATTTCGTTTTGTTAATGAAAAACTAGTGTACGAGTATTCTGAAACGTGCTGTCGTATGACGCTGTACTCACCTCATCGTGTTTTCTTCTGCTTCTGATCTGCTTTAGACTTGCTTTCGAAATGTCTGTGAGTGCAAAACAAGGGCGGATTTATACTGCCCTGAGTACACATGGCAGTTACACCTGATTGGGTGCTATATGTGAAGTGTTTCTTTGAATCAATCTCAATTGGTCATTCTTTATCGTGACGTCAATATAAAATGCGTAATTGTGTAGGTTGCTATAGTACGTTGATAAATATTATTCAAAATGTTTTTATTTTGTTGCTATGACATTGCTAACTACTTGCATTTACTATATTCCGTGTAACGAATAGGTTGACGTAAAGAAGCGGCACGAAATAATCGACAAGATTTTGAGATGAGGAACCTAAAATATAAATTTACAATTTTCCGCATTCTTATGAAGCAACGCAGTTCCCTCCGATAGTTGCTCATGATTTTCCTCGTGTGTGTGAAAGACTGCCACGTTGGTTTTGCAAATGCTATGCGAGTGAAGTGACGATGAAAACAATTAATACGAAAAAGAGAGCTACTGCAATATATTTGACGACACATTTGACATCGAGAGAGAGAAATTTTATTCGCAAAATTTATTGTTGTTTCTCAATAATTAAATTTACATAAATGATAATAATATTACACTACCGATGGTGATATAACTGTTGCTTCTGTCATGAGTTTAAT